TGTTTGTTACTAAGCACAAAGCTACACAAAGGGGCTATCAGTGTTCTGCCCACCGTGGGTATCGAAATTCAAATTTTAGCGTTGTAAGTTGTGAGAATTACCTCTGAACCACCGGAGAGGGGAGACGAAATCTTTTTAGAGATTACGTAATACTTAATAAAAGGTAGCTTAAAAGTAGGGATGTTTTCGTAGCAATAACTTTAAGTTTACCACTTTACTGAATATATAACTACACAAAATATTAGAAGTTAATTTTACAGCATACACGATTACTTGCCATAAAAAGCTAAAATAGTCCTATTACACTGAGAAAGTATTCTGAGAGTAGCTGTGAACAATTAAAACAATCATATAATTAGGTAATATTTAAGGTTTTGAAAAATAATTTTGCTCGCAAACGCATACAATTTTATCATTTTGTTCTTTACATTCGTTCTCTGAGAAATCTTTAACCATGTATCTTCTTTAATGTATTTCTAACTTTTCTTTTCTCGAACAGTAAGATGATAAGATAAACCGCGCCGTAGTAGCGTTCTAAAGTGTTTGAGCGTATGGGTTGTTAATAATTGATGACTGCGTTTAGAAATTGAAATAAGATTATATCGCTTTTTATTCATTTCAGCTTTGACATATGCTAATAGATTGAAGTAACGATAAATATATAAGATGAAAAGTCAAAGTAATAATATGAAAAATATGGTTCTTAAGAAAAGAGCCTAATGTCGTGAGTAGCACGACATTATAAAGCACGGAAAATTAATTAAAAATTGATATTTTTTATTGAAAAAAAAATGTGTTTTAGACAGTAAGAACGTAGTAGTTAAGATAATCTTTAACTCTTGAGAGGTGCTTCTCAATTCTTAAAACATAGGAACTCACGTTAAGACGAACACAAAATTCAACCGCTAAAATGAATTTAAAAAATACGTGCTCAAAAATCTTCGAAATGCACATAGCAGTAGTATAAGAATAGAGTTTTCGGCAAAACAACAGGTTAAGGAGAGAGAGACTATTCTTATATTCTATTCATTAAGTCTGTATTTATATCATATGAAAAATATTCGAAGTTTTATCGTTTTCAGAGAAACCCGGAGGCAATTTATTGGATCGTCTGAACAACGCTAGAAACTGGGTTTCGATACCCGTGGTGGTCAGAGCACAGATAGTCCTTTGTATAGCTTTGTGCGTCACTACAAAAAAATCGTCTGAATGTTAGAAACAAAACACCTAAAATGCCATTGACAATGAAATACCTTAACTATTTCTGCCAAAAAAGGCTAAATTACTTAATTTTGTGTCAGAATATACAATGAAACCCTTAGAAATATAAAAAAGTTAAGCTAATTTGTTTTTTGATTTTCGCCCAAAGCTACTCGAGCTTTCCTTAATTTTGAAGTAGTAAACTAGAGGGAAGGAAGCTAATCAATATTACCCACCGTCATCTCGTAGTCTACTCTAATTGAAATGCGAGATTTGACCGCCACTCTTATAACGCACTCAAGGCGCCGAATGCCAATTTCTTTTGTATTTTGTTTTTTGCTGGTACGGTACACGAAAAACGGCAGTTCAGATCTACAATCCGACACGCTAACCACTGGGCCACTCTCGGCACAGACGCCTCTGATATTAAAGTATATATTGGGCTATTTATTATGATGCTATATAATTTCCTGGTTATGAGATATTTACTTAACATTGTGTTATTGGTAAAAATAATACTCAAACTCAATCAATAAATATTTTCCAAAATTTCGTCACGCACGAATTTCATGAATTACCTTTTCTGTGTAAAACGATATCCACAAAAGTACCTTGCAGTGACAGTTTAAATAAACTATTCATTTTATTTAAAGTAACTTTATTGATTATCTACTTTCCACCATTTCCCGAAACTAGTGAGGAAGATATGATATATCCACAACCAAAGAAATAATGTCCTCTTACTGTAGTGTCCTCTAGTGACAACTAATGAAACTAGGCTGTCAAATTCAACAAAGAGAATAACTCCGTTCCGCTTGAGGTTGTACTTTATATTAATACCTGACATTATTACAAGTATTCGTTATTACTGCAATGTAAACGTGATTTGAATCATGGATTGCTATTGGCGTATAGCATTTTACAAACAGATGCTAAATGACGGTAATTTTATAATTACTTCATGCCCTAATTCTCCAAAGTATAAGAAATTTGAATGTATTTTTCGTGCTGTTGATGACTTATAACTTTTAAAACTATATTACTTAGTTTTGTAAAAACTTAATCACAATAACTGGACAGACCTCACTATAGGCGGTATACAAAACTTCGAGAAGATTCGTTGTCACAATTGTTGAGATTATTTTCCTTTTTTTGTTTGTTTAGGTTATTACGCACAAAGTTACATAATGGGCTATCTGTGCTGTGCCCACCACGGGTATCGAAACCCGGTTTTTAGTGTTATAAGCTATCAGGCTTACAGCTGAGCCACCAGGAGGACTTAAAAAAGAGAAGATTGGTTGAGAACATCAAAGTATAAGTGTACTCTCGGTATTTTAGATTTTGTTCTTTTTTAACTTTTGTAGCAGATTTATAGCTACAATGAGCAATAACTTTGTGTCCATGTCTTGATTATAACCAATCGAATTTTAGAGATAAACTTGGGGGACTGTGACGCTAGAATTCGGGGTTCGATATTCATGGGCAAATCTGCTACAAAACACAATCAATATTTTAACAATGTCGCAATGTTTTGATAATATTTAATTTTCCTAATAAGTACCTTCATGTAAGGAGAATTTAGAAATGTGTCGATTTGAATGACTAAACATACTCATGGTGATAATTTTAAAAATTTATTTGTTTATTGTTATGCACAAAGCTACACAAATGGGCTATTTGTGCTCTGCCCATCACGGTGACCCATCAATAAATATTCTGGTATTTAACTGTACTTAATTTTCCCGTATGACCCACCTCAGTTGTAACTATTAATAAAGATTAGATGAATATAGCATTCAGCCGTGTTGCGGTTACATAATGATGATGTTATCAACGTCATGAAATCTCAAGAGTAACCTTCAGTTTATACTTTCCTAAAGACCAGAAGTTGAAAAATGTCTGTCACTAAATACTTTAATATGCACAGAAAATAATTTCACACTTGACAGATTCCAGACTTTGTTTTTTATACTTTACGCAGTAAGTATAACGAGGTTGTTTATATAACGTGTTATCTCTTAACATTCAAGACTTGGACTACTTTTAAAATCACATACTTATTACTTGCCTTCAACAACACGACACTGAATTTCAAGATAGTGAGAACAACTACTTATTATGTTGCACAATATTCAATATTTACATACAAACAAATTTTGTAAGATTAGACACCAATTGCCATACGTGTCTTTTTTTTGAGCCATAAATTTTCAGTTCTTCCAATGTCCTTATAAGGCTGAATCACATTTATATTGGTAGCCTACTAAAAAAACTGCGTGAGTTAATTAGTAATTACTATGTTCAAATCACTCAGAACCACTTATAAATAAATATGCACAGACTGTTCTCTATGTTCTTTCCTTTTAATTGCGAGCTTTTCGTCTCTCTTAAAACACAGAAGTAGCACTCTTGTCAGAATTCTTTAACCATTTCTGCATGGTTAATAACTACCAGGTATCAGTTAATTGTTAGGAATGTTGCCTAGACAGCTGCCTTTAAAAAGTGTTCCACAGATAACTAAATTTATATTATTCAGTACCTTGTTGCGCGATGAACGTTCCGATAAGAGCGCCGATAGTTCGCAATTAACAAAACAAAACGTACTGAACAGTCCGGGAGCATTTTTCTTCATATTAATTTACCTACGTCAAGAGTTTTAAAAAACAACAACTAGTCTTGTTTATCTGGAAAATGTTGACTTTTAGTGTTTCTAAGAGGTTTTGTTTTCTTTGTAAACACAATTCAGAAATTGTACCGCCAAATACTAGATTTATTTTGCTAATTTATTTTATAAATATTCTCAAATTTAGTTTCTTTCTCTGTTACATTTACAATCAGTCTTTAACATTTGTTATATTTTCGCCACGACCAAGACGAGCAGCACTTACTAACACGATACTTATAACACAATTGACAATGAAACCTAACAACTGTTTTTGATATCAATAACACGTACGGTACAACAGCTGGAGTATTGAAACAACAAGAATTCAGAAAACGTTTCACACTGATATTATAATTATGATCACACCCATGGCGACCCCTGTTGTTGATATATTTCTAGAAACAACAAGAATTCAGAGAGTTTCACACTGATATTGTAACTTTGATCACACCCATGACAACCCCTGTTGTTCATATATTTCTAGAAACAACAAGAATTCAGAGAGTTTCACACTGATATAGTAGCTTTGATCACACCCATGACAACCCCTGTTGTTCATATATTTCTAGAAACAACAAGAATTCAGAAAAGACTTAACACTGATATTATAACTGTTATCACACCCATCACAACCCCCCGTTGTTGGTATATTTCTAGAAACAACAAGAATTCAGAAAACGTTTCACACTGATATTATAATTGTGATCACACCCATGACGACCCCTATTGTTCATATATTTCTAGAAACAACAATAATTCAGAAAAAGAGGTTCACGCTGATATTGTAACTTTGATCATGACCAAACAACCCCTTACTCTTGGTATCTTTATAATAATGTTTAGGCATCAGAAGATATAACATCATTCCAAAATTGAAGCACAATCGTATTATAAAAGGCTTGTATCTCTCATTGAGTAACATTAACAGTCATTATTTAAACTTATCATATTTAACACTTCCCATAAGGAACAACCACAGTCTCCATGCTAAATTCCGGACGATATTAAGAAACGATACTACAGTTGTCGTAATACCATATATTCGTAAAAGTTCACAAAAAGACAAAACATTAATCCACTTAAAGTTTGTTAATAGTATTTCTTATGTGATCTTTATACTGCTACAACACTTGCGTTATTAACGAACTGACACCACATATTTTGTTCAGTTGTTTGTTATTATTTAATCATTTTAAAAGTCTTTATTTTGGACTTCTATTTTCGGGATATGATATATGACTTGTAGTAATCATATCAATGGCATATTAAAGTCCCGAAGTAGTAATATCAGTATCGCACTTGAAGTTGGCCATGTGTAATTCTTCCTGTGGGGCTTTATCAACACATGTTCGATACCGCTGTCTCCGTCTCCGATACTTAGGACAGCAGATACACAAAAGTTTGTTGAAGGCCCTACGAAAGTCGCGGCTCCAGCAAGCGTAGATGACAGGGTTCATTCCCGAATTGATCCAACCCAGCCATGTAACAGTAGAAAATACCAGGTCTGGATGACCCACGCAACGCTCTTCACATATCCCCATGAGCACATTGGTCACAAAGAATGGGAGCCAACACAAGATAAACACACCCATCACTATCCCTAAGGTTTTCGCTGCTTTTCGTTCCTTGGCCAATTTAGCAAGCTTACGACTGATTGAAAATGATTTCAAGTGACGGCAGGTTGTTCTGAAGGCTGTGCTTTCATCACCTTCCTCGACAGATGGTGCCATCGACCCACTTGGATAAGCGGCTTTTAGGGCCTCTTCTTCAAATACTCTCCCGCGATGAATGCGTAGAGTTAACGGAGACGACTGGTCACCGTTGCATGAACGGATCATCTTGGTTCCTAGTCTGAGGCTACGAGCCTGGATCCGGGCTGCTTTGTAGATGCGGTAGTACGTAAATCCCATGACAGTCAGCGGAAGGTAGAAAGAAATTAGAGACGAAAACACCAAGTAGCCCACGTCATCTGTGAAATCGCAAGTATAAGGTTGAGAGGGTGAGGTGGACACCGCTCTCCACCAGGCAATAGCAGGAAAAGAGATAAGCGACGAACAAACCCATACAAATGCAATTAGCAGCCCCGCCTTCGTTGGTGTCATCCTTCGAGGGTAGCTTATTGGGTCTGTAATGGCCCAGTAGCGGTCCAGAGAGATTACACACAAGTTCAAAATGGATGCCGTACTTGCCAGCACGTCTAAGGAATGCCATACGTCACACCAATCCTGCCCGAAGATCCAATATTTGTTCATCGCCTCGTGTATTGCACTAAATGGCATCACCAATGCTCCCACTAAACAGTCTGCTGTAGCAAGAGAAGCAATAAAATAATTGGTTACTGTATGAAGATACTGTTCCTTAGCAACGGCGGCCATCACTAGCATATTACCAAATATTGTTGCAACACAAAATATAGCTAGTACAAAAGCTAATGCAGGGTGTTGGATGGCTACTTTTGGTAATCCAGCAAACGTTTTGTTTAGAGCCGACTGATTGTCATAGTTAGTGATGTTGTGGAAAAAAGAAAGATTACCAGTTAGTACACCTAGCAACAGTAGTTCAGTTTCAGTGAGAGATGCTTCTCCAGGGGATACGATATACGACCACATCAACGGATCATGCATGGTGATTGCATAAATTCCGAGCAAAGTTAATCACCATAATAAGTCACATAAGAGGACATTGTTGTGTTCTGAATTCTTTAGTTATTTTTAGCCAATCCGTGAAGATGTATCATTTCTGTTTCCAGACTGCGTGACACCACCACCGTCGCTGATTTCTGAGCTCCCATCCAAGTTTCACATCGTATTTGTGAATCTGCAAAAGAGCAAATAATCTAAGTTATTATATAGCAACCATGGCCATTTTCTTAAAACAACTGTTTTAAATATATAGTAGACGTGACAATATAAGACTTAAAGTTTGGTTTACAGAAGTCAATATTGTGTTAAACTTTCTCCATGAGAACCATCATTTAGCATGATGTCGTGCCGTTCGTTAAACTTACCTCGAAAACCTTTGTTGTCACTACAGAAAATATGAGAACGAATGTCAGGTGTATTTCAATATTTAGTATGCTATAGTATATATGGTGATGAATCTTTAATCTATTCCTCATTACACTAATTGCTAAAGGCTTTTAACTTAAATAAGCATATTAAGTTATATTTTGTAGTTGCAATAGTACCGAACTGTGTTATTAGACAGAGTATATAGTTTGGTTATTTGATTACGAGTACATATATTGTAACTGAGACAAATAAACAAGATTGCTAGAGTATATATAGGTTGTCAAGACTGCTAGAGTATATATAGGTTGTCAAGACTGCTAGAGTATATATAGGTTGTCAAGACTGCTAGAGTATATATAGGTTGTCAAGACTGCTAGAGTATATATAGGTTGTCAAGACTCCTAGAGTATATATAGGTTGTCAAGACTGCTAGAGTATATATAGGTTGTCAAGACTGCTAGAGTATATATAGGTTGTCAAGACTGCTAGAGTATATATATATATAGCTTGTATTTGTGTCAGCTACTGACAAATCCGTAGAGACGGATTTTAGAAACTTGTTTTCAGAAAATTCAGGTCATTTTTTTATGTCTGAACACAAGTTTTACAGAATATTACAGACAGGCACGAAGAAACAATAAAGGAGTTTTTTTCATAGACCATTCAAGTATTTTTATTGTGTAAACACGAGGATTTATGGCGTTAAACGAACTGGAAGAGCGAGATATTCATATAAAACTATGTTTTAACCCTCAGCGGTGAATTTTTACTGTCGCTTTGAGTCAGATACTAAACAGTTGTTCAAAACAATTTTTAAACTGTCACGAAGTCCTTACTATTAATAAAATATTATACAATAACGTACAATAATTACTTGTAAAAAATTATAATTATGATAAACGCCGTAAAGTAAGAATACAGCAAACTTTGAGGTGTACGTGTGTTTTCTTATAGCAAAGCCACATCGGGCTATCTGCTGTGTCCACCGAAGGGAATCGAACCCTTGATTTTAGCATTGTAAATCCGAAGACTTACCGCTGTGCAAACTTTGAGACTTTAT